ACAAAAATGGATAGAAATTATTGTAATTTAACAAATTGATATTTTTCAAAAGAAAAAATTACAAAGCGTATTATTTGTATAATTTATTGTTCTTAAATACTATTAATTAAAAAAACTAAAAAAATGCATAATTTTAAAAGAAGCACGCACAAATTAAATCTCGCGTCTGACTCATTTCCCTATGATAAAATTTGCTGTAATAAATCATGTAGCTCGAATGAATTATTGTAGAAATAAGTGCACTCTGAATATTTCAATTGAGCGAACATTTCAACAGCTACACACCGGAGATACATAATCAAATCAATTTTCCTCGCGATATTCGGAATATAGAATTACACCGTCAGCCCTCACCCTTTCAACATAAATCTCAATTTCTTGAGAAAAATCTTTCCATCCTATTTAACTAAAGGATTCCTTCGTTTGACGCCGATTCCGCAGGAAAGCAATGGAATAACGGGCCATAGTCCACACTGGTGAGGGACAATAATTCAATAAATATTACCTCCAAATCGAAAATATAGTACGTAATATTATACTACGCATAAAATATCAGTACAAAGAGAACTTAAAAAGAAATCGTTGGAAATAACACATTTTTAATTTTAACGTTTAAGTACAGTTACTTTATTATTTATAAACCACTGGGAAGACCAGAAATTCTAGGTTCTGCATCCACCTGTATATTTGCATTATATAAACACATAAAATATTATTATTTTATTCGACTACTTGAAACAATAGTTCTTTTTTTTACTTCCAGCTTGTTCAGGTTCGTCAGTTTTATGAACTAAAAATTGGATAGTTGCAGATAAATGAACTAATTTTTTTTTTTTTTATAACGAAAATGACGACCCAACATAACTAGCATGATCCGGTCCCCTGACGCTAAAAATGCAATAAAAACATAACTACAAGGAAGTGGCAGCGTCGTTGGGCCGGATTGGCAAAGCACCTCTCGAGTAAAAACGAGCACTATCTGCTCTCCGAGGATCTGACCCGTAAAAAAGAGTCATCCCTGATTGACAAACGAACACATAATTTTGGGCCAAGCCAAAGCCCGCATATGTGTCCGGCACGTAGAGAAAAATTGCTCGGTGAGCCAAGCAATTGAAGGGTGTAATTATTTGGTTCTATATAGAGAGCGCGTAGGAACGTCACCCGATCGTGTTTGAGAACGACAGCGAATATCTGGGTCCATTGTTTCGATTTTGGAGGTAACAGGTTTGTTGATATAATGCTTAGTTTTGTGTCCCTAGCGTGTGTTGACAGTGAAAGGATTTATTGCTGTGAATGTTAATCCATTGACCCTCCCCCATAGTTTGTTATATAATAGGTGTAAAGGGGCAGTGTTGGGCAAAAATTAGTCATGTCTAATGATTAATGCTAGATCACTCAGACCGTTAGTCATGATTGGTAGTAAGTGGCTAATTTAGTCATTAGTCACATATGTGATTGATGGCTAAATTAGTCATGACTAGTAATTAAATACGAGGCATGACTAATTTAGTCACAATATAGTTATTCATGACCAAATTTCGATAAATCATGTTCAAATGGGTGCTCAAAAAATGAAAAATACAGAACTTCATCACTTTTAAAATATTTTCCAACAGAAATTTATTTCATCAAAACGAAAATCCTTCAACACCTTATTTAACAAAAATCAATCTTCAATCAATAAGTAAAACTACGTCGATATGAAAAGCCAAAAAATAATGACAATAATAATAATAAAATTAAATTAAATTTAAAAAAAGCCTAGAACAAGCTACGCTTTGAAAAGTAAATATGTTTACATAACCGATCAATGGAAAATATATTTCTTTGGATTAAAATTTATTCCACTTGAAAGGAGAGATTTCTACATTATTTGGAAAAACACCAACTAGGGGTCTTGATTGTAATAAAATAGACATGTAGAATAATTATGTAACTTTGGTTTTCGTTTATGATAACACTTTTTGAAGGTTGACCTTGAGCACGATTCTCATATCCGGAGTCTGTTGGATTTTGGTAAGTTGTTCATTGTAGCCAGAGTTGGGCAAAATCGAACTAACTCAGGCCCAACTCTGTAAAGGGGGATGGAGTAATATCTAGTACCCCATCACCCTGAATGAATGGAATCTAAATAAGAAAAACTTATTGAAGTGATTGAGAGTGTAAACGGGTTTGGGATTAGGAACGGATTATTTTGGGAGATGAAATGACCTAGCAGTTAGTTGGCAGTCACTAGGCTCAACCACGGTGTCCGGTCGGATACGACGAGGTTTGTTCACACCCTGGGTAGGTGGTTCTCAAGGCTCGCCTGTACTTCATTGGAAATTAAAATAGCTGATGTTGTAGACTGCAAGAAGTGATAGGTTCAATTCTGTAGGCGTGTTTAATATTTCTGCTGTCAACACCTTCTAATACAGAAATTACTGCGGAAACAAAAAGGAGGTCGCTGAAGTCCTTGTTTTGAAAGGTTTCAAATTGTACATAGAACAGTTCTTTCCACAAACTGAAAATAAATATGACAAACTGCCTTAAAAAAAGTGTAGCAATTGAATCTTGACAAACTGGCAGATTTTTTAATCCGAGTCATTGCGAGTTGCATTCAATAAAAGCTGGTTACTAAAGAAAACTGCAATAGGTTATAACACAATTATTCAGTTGCACTGTAATGTTTAAACAATTTACTTACTTCCAATATAATAAATTATTTGAATTCAATTAAACCTAGTTAAAATGTACATTTGACCCTTTTGAAGGGAATTTAATTCCCCACTGGTCCCAGAGGGACATGACGACCAATTAGCATTCCATTATATCTTCTCTAGTGACAACCCTATGCTTCTGATGAGAGTACACGAACCAAACAGGAAATTCGTTTTGCATCACTGACACACAGGAATATTTTCCCGATTTGATGAATATGATTACAAAAGGTCTTTTAAAAATCAAATTCGGATATTCAATATTCTACCGTTCCATATCTGCCTTTAAAATCTTGGACGATTGTGCAACGTTTTGAGTCGGAACAATGTTTCTCACAAGGAAAAGCCTTGGGTCATCGGGGATATTACAAGTAGCATAAAAGAGGAAGATGTCTGAATAAATTTCTTTCTCTCAGCAGAAAACTGATTGCATAATTTCCGACTGGGATTCACCCCAAACTGGCATACAAAAACTGATATTCACACATGGACGACTACTAAATCCGACAAGTAAACGCTTGAACTATGTCTACAAATATACTAATTTTTTATGGATGAATAAAAATTAAAATAAATCCAGTCAACAACTTCAAACCCTTAATATTTACATAAGCTGATAAATGAACGCTTGAATTATGCCTACAAATATACAAATTTTGTAATGGATAAATATATATGAATAAAAATTAAAATAAAATGCAATCATAAAACTTAAGTCATCATCTACACATAAACTGATAAATAAAAGCTTGAACTACTCTTACAAATATAAAAATTTTCTTACGCATGAATAAATATGAATACAAAAGTGAAATAAAATCCACTCACAAACTTAAAACCCATAATTTTTTTATATAAGCTACACCTATACAACAAAATATAATTTATTTCCGTTATAATTAGCCCATTCATTGGCGATCTACTATATTTGTGTTAAATCTGGGATACATCATACATAGCGCACGCGCACAAGCATACACAGTAGGGCACAGGCACGTTCATACACACTAAGCCACTCACGCAAATAAATACATTCTTCCAAGTAGAACCTTTCCTACTCCACGTATTAAAAATTAGAGAGAGACACCGAGGTATTTTATATTACGACAAGGATGAAAATAAATACATATATATGTACTGTATGATCATCATCGATTTTAAATATCCAACAAGATTATCTTCATAAAAACTGTTGTGTTTTAACACTTTTATTATCGTTGCACCGAATCTTGTAGGACTAAAAATTCACATTTTTACAAAATTTACTCAAATTCGCTCGAGTGTCAATCGGTGTGTCGTATTCCTAATTTTGTGAGAATAATTCCATCTTTTTTTATATTCTCGGGTCCAAAGTTTCACTGATTTTAGCTTTTCTGTCACGGCAGTCAGCGAATTTCCAAGTCCTTCAGCGCTTATTCGTTGTGAACATGACTGAAGTTAATTGATATTAAGTACAAGTAATCATTAAAGAAATTACAGCATAAACTTTTTATTTTTAACTGTCTAAGCTGGACTTACTTGGGTGTTGATTTTGTTATGATTTGTACTAAAGTACTGCATATTATGTATCTATATGTAACTCTTTAGTAAAATGACTTTAGTCGATTGCTAAAACAATTGTTTTTTTATTAATCACAGCACTCTGTACAATTAAAGAATCCGAAAGAACCAATAAAAATGAATTCATAGCTAAATCAATAGAATTTAAAGTCCATATGTTAGAGTTAATTCACTGTTTCAGTCTTGTCACATTAACCAAGATCCATCACATGTTCGAAACTTCCACAAAAAATGTATATTAATTCATCAATTTAGGAGAATATGCGAGTCTTACATTACTAATAAAATAAAAACCTTGTTTCACGTTTTGGCTATTAACCTAATTTTTAAATTGATTTACTTGAAAAGGGAGTGCCAGATGGTAAACTTTGTGAATTCCAGAAGCAGAAAGAAATCAGGTTTAGTGTTGAAAGTACCACCCATTTATCAGATACCTGTCCAATGCCGTTGATATTTCTTTAAAAAGAAAACTTAACTCATCAATTATTTTTTTGCTGTCAGCCGGGTTCAATATTTAAATTTTACGCGTCTGGAAAGATAAATTGAATTATTTTAAATGATTTTTTGCTATTTTCTGACTTTTTTATATTTTGTTTGTTAAATATCTTCTATTGTAATTAAAACATATAATTTAAATATTAAATTAAAATTAAAATAAGAAATTGACAGGTAATGAAAATAATCATATTGAATAGGGTTTTAAAAAATAATTAGCCATTCTGAATGTAAAAATAACCACTTTATTGAACATGTATAATAATATATATTTATGATAATAAAACTTGTTTGAAAGTTGGGTGAGTACAACTAACTACAGCGGTGTTCAGATCTTCGGATTATATTTTCTTCAGTCGTCCTCAGCATCAGACAGCAACTCATTTCCCTGCAGATCCCAGCCAATCTCCTGAACACAGAGAAAAAAAACACATGAGTTTAAAAACAAATGTTTGTTAATTTCCCAGAGGGGTTTTAACATGGTATGAAAATTGAAACGTTTTCAACCTAGCAATTTTACGAAATAGGCGGGGTTGTTGCTGTTAAAAAGGTGAGAATACCAGGACTAACAAATAATTTGAAATCGTGCTAATAGGTTACATTCCTAATATGTGACCTTCATACCCTTTGTAATATGATTATATAACATGGCGATTAGGTAATGATAATAATTATTCTCAACTTACGATTAGAGCACAACTTACAATTAAAATATTTTCAAGAAGAAGGGGTATCATAACTAATAAAGCAATTTATAGATTAACAATTAATCCATTAAGATTAATTGAAATCATTTAACTGTTGTCAGTCGAATGATGATTTGGACCTATCACTCAGAAACTTGATTCTAATCAAACTGTTGAATTGAAGCTTTGGAACTCAATTAACTTATGACTCGCTCTTCGAACCTATGTAAGTGTACACAAATAACGGGCATAACGTTTAAACAATTCCGAACTGCAATTATGATTAAACCTGATATTGCATTACTTCAAAGAACAGAGCTGGTAATGAATTTCTTGATCGGTTTCATCATGGGATAGTGGTAAACGATTTAAACACGATTCAACCGGTTGGAAATATATTAACATGCCTGCGGCTACAATCATTACAACCCGACCTTCCTCGGGCGAAAATATTTTTGAAAAATAATGAATTTAACAATTATCTGTACAGAAATAAAATGAATTGCACCGCGTTTTGTTTTCGTGAGCGTAAGTTTCATGTAGGGATAGGTAGCATTGCCCGAGGGCGATGAGGTTCTTCTGCGACCACACCTGGCACGTGGTTTTCATTTGTTCCTCAAGGGAAACGACACACTACTTTGTACCGACTACAACATACTAACTACTAAACAACAAATTGCTAAACCCATAAGTTCACGCCTAGAAAAACTAACTAAACTACCTAAATTCCGGATCCCTAAGGACCAAAACGAGTTTTTTCCCACTCGCCCTTCCGAATGGGTGAGTCGACATCAATGCGTCCGACAGTGAGCTCAAAGGGCTGAAACGAGTTCTACTGAACCTCCGTAGATGGAGCTGGAATTTTATCCTGACTAGATCGGCTAGCATAAGGACTTCCGGATAATCTTCCGGCCACGTTTGCGGAAGTAAGTGGAATTGCCAACCATCCCTAGAGTAGCGATGAACGGAACAACCTGATCGATAGCGTCACCCTAAGAACTTGCCAGGAGTTTAACCACGTACCACAAATCCAATCGCCATTGCAAGCAATTGAGACTGGAAAACGTAGTTCCGTCCATCTGTCTCCTTTTCCCATCATTTCAGACAAGATCGGGTTCACCAGTTCGCTCTGTGACTGATGACAAACGCGCTGGATCCGTGGACCGACTGAGTGCCACTCGACTTGTCCTTCAGAGTGCTTACCACACACTCTAGGCTACACCATTATTTGTTCCTAGAAACGTCACTTCCATCTGAAGATTGGGAATAGGATTAAGGGTAAGATCCAGAAAAGAATTTAAACAATATATTTTTTGTTTTCAAAAGAGAGCCACGAAAAGAGCTTTGGGCAAGGGGATCGCCAACAACTACGTCGCAATTTTTATGAGCATTTCGAAAACTATAATCAATCCTTTATATGGCCAAATAACTAAAAAATGAAAACAATTTTAAAATATATAAAACCATATCATGCTGATAGATACTTTCGATTTTGAGGCGAATTTTCTCCCAAAAGGTCGATACAAGTGTTTGAAAGGGTGCGCCAGGGTTCATTGAAATATAGTGAATACACTATTTTGCACAATCTGATTGCCTAATATGCGAGATATTTCACTTTCCGTGTTACTTCAATCTTTCATAAATATTTCTCGTATATGACATTTTTATTCCTCATGCCGCGCCTGATCGACTGTTCTTTAATCTGGAAACAAGGTCGAACGGATAAGAAAGCGACCGTTGTCGGAGGTAACATATATCGATTATTAGTACAGTCCAATCTGATAAGAAAGTTTTTTCACAATGTCCTCAAAATATATGTATATGCATTATAATATATACATATATATACATAATATATATGTACATATATTATAATATATACATCATATGTATGTATACGTATGTATGTATACGTATGTATGTATGTATGTATGTGTGTATATATACGGGTATAGTGAATATTTGGTGATTATGTACAAAGACCGGGTAATACGAATAATGACCAAAACTACTAGATAAAGTGACAAATATACATAATTTGTTCATACTGATCTACATGTATATAATACTAGTTAATTTTTTCGTACAGATAACGCTCTCATATTTGCTCTATGGAAACGGTCTCATTTTTGCTAAAATGCATTTTTTTGTTATTAACCGTCATCCTCACATCAATAGCTTCATCAAACGGATGCATTTGTCACTATCTTAAATCTTTGGTCAATTTTGATATTAGTAGTTGATTTGCTTATTAAATACAAATTTATATAAAATAGTAATTTTCTTATAGAATGTACATTTTTTATAAATTTTTCACCGGGTTTGTTGCCGGAATTCTCTTTTTGAAGAAAATTGTTCAAAATACTCCTTATTCGGATAAAATTTGAAAAATAGGATATCATTTTATTCATTTGTTTAGAATCAGTGGGTAACAGAAAAAATATAATAACATGAAATTTACTGAATACGGCGATCATTTTCAAAATTAATATAAATTAAATTCACTACTTTCGTGCTCCGCTTGACTAAAGCTCTCCGTGGCCATTTCATTTGTCGCCGAGAATCAAATAGATTACACGACATTTGAAAAAAAATGGCAAAAAGGAGGGAAAATTCAAAAGGTGTGGTTGAGATAGGAAGTTAGTGTCCGAGTGGATTGAAGTCACGATAGCTCAAGTGGTAGAGCAGCGGCGTATCAAGCTATATCAAGATCGTGGGTTCGAATCCCGCTCGTGCCATTGACTTTTTATCTCAACTAAAAACCTTAATTAATTGATTTATATAATATGATGTAAAATACAATAGAGCTATGCGAACTTACGTGCTAATAAATTTAGATATGACATAAATGTGTACTAATAACAAGAATAGAAATACTTTGGTTGAATATAAAAAATATATTTTGCATTGTATAAATTCACTTTTCTGCACATCCTACATCAAAATCTAATGGTCAATCAATTGAAACCTTTTTATTCAAATACAGCTGATCTTTCATATAAAATGTACGTATTCAACGTTATTGTTGATTATTTAATAATTTGATTTCTTCTTTGGACATGTGTAAATATTGATTAGATAAAATTACATAATAAAGTTTTTATTGGCAAACAATGGATAATAGAATTTTCTACCGATCGCAATTGTAGCGGTTAAATGAATTTGCGACGTGCCGGAGGTTCAAAGGACGACCTGAGTGGTCTTCTACCAAGCAAAACAAGCTTATAACAAAATAACTTGTGGAGGACCTGCCACTTTATGTGCTTACAATAATAGCTTTAGAGTTATGTTAGATAACAAAAACAACTATAGTGACTTGCTTTCTATTTTTTTGTGCCCATATTACAACAAAAATAGCAAAAACTGCGCGATAATAAATATATAATCTTTGCATAGAAATTCAAAACCCTACATTAGATCAAACTTAATGTATGAGTATATTTTTAGTATTTAAATCTTTCTACATATTTGTTTTTCTATTCAGCTCATCTTCAATTAAAGTTATTACACGGCGCTACCCGCATACTAAACCATCATGTCTTACAGGTCTTGCAAAACAGATATACTGTGCCCCTTGAAATGTATAAATTACCATTATTAAATTATAACGTATTACAAATATTAATGCAATTTTAAATTTTAAATTTATTTCTTACATGAAGATAAAATAAACATTTATATTAAAGTATTAACGGGAACTCCTATTAATGAGGTAAAATTACTATCTTCTTCGGACTATATAATTAAAGCATATGGTATACAAATTATAGAGTGTTACCCGTAAATTTACTAAAATTCAAAGTCATTTAGGTTTTACATTGTAATAAAAATTTAATGCATTGACGGGAAGGAGTAATGAAGCCCACTGAGTGGCCATAAAAGTTAATTGTGAATTCGCAACTCATTAAATCACCGATAAATACTCGAAAGTTGCACGCAATTCATTTCAGGTGAAATTGTTCAAACACCGCGGTTTTAAATGAAATTTCTCTAGAAGCTTGAAAACAATTAACTCTGTTGTAGACGTGGTTATACTGAAATTTTCCATTGTTCACTTTTAGACGTTGGTCAGAGCACAAACCTTTTCTGATTTATATAACGACCCCTGCCAGGAAGCGTTTATAAAACGAACGGTGGCTTTTACAAAAGTCAAAAGACACCGGGGTTAATAAGCGGGTGCGAAACTAAAACAAACACGATCTTCTTTGTACATAGACTTTATTTGATGCGAGCTTTTTACAAACCTGATCTATGGTCGAGGGCTATGTAATTGAGAATTAAAGACATATATAATTTTTATAATAGAATCACTCAGTTTCAAGCTGGTTCGTTATGATTGCCTTTTATACGAAAAAAGTGTCATTAAGTTTTCAATTATGGCTCCTATAAACAACGCATTGAAAACGAATAGTATAAATATTACCTTATTCAAAAATGTGCAACCACATTAACAATATACTAATCAATAAACAAACCTTGGTTTTTTTGCTAAGTCGTATAATATTAATTTTTTTTGTAAAAGTAATACTTTTTCATCCCTTAGTGTACTTTGTAATCGAACCAAAGGCCACTGTCGCCCCATTTTTCATGCTGTAAAGTAAGAGTAAATATTGGAAGCTCAATTTCTTGATGGTTCTCCCGGCGTGAACCAGTTTTCGACTAAAACATTATCTGAATTATTGCAGCTATATTCATCGTTTGGAAATAATGTTTATAACATTTC